GCTCCCAAGGTCGTAGTGGAGGGCCATGTTACCCTGTTCCTATTCAAGCGTGTTGCCAAGAATGCTCCCAAGGTCGTAGTGGAGGGCCATGTTACGATTTTGGATATAATTACGGAAGGCCTGTACCACCTCCACCATGTCCATGCTACGATGGTTATGGTTACCAATACGCTCGAAACAGGCCCTGTTATGTGACTAGGTGTGATTGCTTCAGTGAAGAAAATCCACAGGGGTGTTCGATAATGTAAGAAAATTAATGCTAGCTGATGGCGGCCATTTTTAGTCTTGATCTTCAAAGATAAAAAAGTCTCCTTTTCGTGTACCTTAAAGACGAGGGAGAGAAAGAGAGTGAGACAGCACTTGTTTTTTGTTTCATACATATAGTATATATATATGACAATAATAAAGTATAGCAGTAATATATAATAAAGATTGGTTTTTTCCATATATCATCTCCAAAATTAATGTATATGGAGTTGGGCTTATATATATATATATATATATGTATAAAAATCTCATCTTTACTTTTGCTTATTCAACTGCTGACTTTTCGTAGTGCATTTCTGTCTCTACTTAATTTCTCATGATCATGATCAGGGGCCTGTTCTACATTAAATGCTACTAATTTCTTCATCTTATTTCCAAATCGTAGTTGCATGTAATATATATACATATAGGATCCAACAATAATTATTCAAATCTATATATCGATAGTGCAGAAAACTTATGTGCAAGCTAGGTACGAATGCTCCACAAGGACGGCCACAAAACTTCATGATAAGTTTTGCTATTCTCTAAGAAACTCAACTGTTTACACGAAATTATTTCCACTGTGAACGCCGTTGTAAACCAGTAGGGGCAAATCTTTTTTAAGGAAATCCTGTCCAACATAGTCCTCAACAAATTTTCTATTATAACTAAAAGAATTAACACTCTAGAATACAAGCCGAACAATCTATACAAGAAACCATACAAGGGGATTCTAGAATACATTGCCATCAATCAGTCGTCATGTCACATATGATTTTACACGCAATTTGACGATCTTGTGTTCTTTTATTCGATTAATATTCTAGTTTGAACCTTCCTCTATATATCATTTGCTGTCAATTTTCCCTTGTGATGAACATCCAGATTGTTGAACTCTTCCATCACATTCATGATATCTTGTTCACTTACCAACCCCATCTCTTTCAGCTTATACACAATATATTCCGCAGGGCTGCACAACAAATTTATATCCACTATCAATCAAGGTTAAATAATAAAAACAGCTTAATCAATTAATTATTTACCTGACACTTTTATCATGGTCAAGATCAGCTTTCTCAAGATCTTGAATCGTCAATTTCCTGTGAAGTACCCAATCCACAAGCTTTCTTCGTCTACTTTCAGTCCACAGTTCTACCAAATACACAAATAGTTGTGCTAATGATATGGTACTCATTAATATCCAGAAAACAGCAAACAATCGACCTCCTTGGCTCGAAAAACTCTTATCCCCATAACCCAGTGTGGTTATGGTGGCACAAACACAATAAAAGGCATCAAACACACTTAGATTTTCAACTAGAGTTAAGAACAATGTTCCAACGATTACGAGGAAGACAATAAGCGTTAGAACAGTTAGAAACTTGTACTTGACTCTATATCTTTCGGTCTCGTCTAAGATCTCCTTGGGACCACATGTTTCATGAATGTGTATAGCTTTTACAAACAAAATTTCTTCTTTCTCCACTATATAGTCTGCTGCTTTACTAAGAGCAAACCCACCAAGACCCATGCCCGTAAACACAAAAACGCAAGCCAAAAGCTTTGCGAAATTGGTTTGTGGGACTAAATCACCATAGCCAACCGTCGTCATTGTGACAACGCAGAAATACATGGCGTCCAGGATTCCATTCGTTTTCCTACCGTTGATCTGATCCTGAACCAGGAAAAAGCAGATGGTTCCTACAGCTAGGTAAGCAATCAAGAAAGTCGCGACTTGCTTTAAACTAAGTTCGACTTGTGAGATTGATGGTTGATTTTGTTGAGGATAACTGTGTGTGGAGGCAACGTGTTTGCGTTGGTGTTTCCTTTTTATGAGCAGCGGATCCTTGGCACCATCTTGGGCCATTAAATGATATATAGAATGATGAAGATGTTGGAAGATGAATATATATCTAAAACGTTTTGAAATCAAAATTGAACAAGATATGCATATTATTAGAGATTGCAGAGATATAGTTGATGCACAATGAAGGAAAAGGAATTGAATGGAAGAAAGGGATTAAATTTTAGCCATCAGAGAAATGGTTTCTAGCTATATATGGCTTTGAATATGCAAAAAGTTGCCTAATTTTCAATCTCGATCCATGAATGTAGGAACACTAGTTTGGTTTGGTTTGGTTGATTGTAATTAGAAGTGGGTTACTATTTATTTGAGAAAGTAAGATAAATAAATACGAGCAACCCCAAAAGGCCGATCACTGAGGATCATAAAATGGCCTTGCTTCTTGCATTCCATCTCTGTCAGATGTTGATTCAAATTGGTAGCTATGAGGATTAGAAACAAAAGTAGGTTGATTGATATATATATATATATATATAAGATCAAATGTTAACCAACAATTTTGTGTTAACTTTGCAAATCATATCAACCAATTAAATTTCATTCTTCTAATAGGTTTATGTCATATTCACAAGTTAATTACAAGGGTATTTCAGTAAATTGATTTGATATGTAACTCCCAAACAATTAATGGGGAGTTACAAATAATCAAATCAATTTACATATGCATTTATATATATATATATATATATATATATATAATATATATTTTTTAATCTTGATTTTCCATTTCATTGTTTTATGAGTTTTTAATTCGCATAGGAAACATTATAGTAAAATTTTCGGTATCGATCAAACTAATATGGATAAACGCAATGGAAAAGAAATCGACAACAGTGAGAAGATTAAAATGGTTGATGATGACAATTGGAGTTCGAGTTCGGGAAGTGAATAAATTAACCAAAGTGAATGTTTTGGTAATTGATTAATATTTTTATTAGAAAAACGAATTATGTTCATTACGATGTGTTGTGTTTTTTATATTTCATCTTGTATTGATAGTTTTTTTCTTTAATTGCACCACGTGTTCATAGCATATATGTTATGTGTTCATACTATTTCTACGATAATCTCTCACTATGTGGCTTGTTCATGTTCATCACTCGTTCATACTGTGTTCATATTTCTACGGTACTATAGAACAAGGGGTGAACAACCATATAAGATCATAATCATATATGAACAAGGGGTGAACCTTAAACGGTGTGGATGCAATGCATGTATAAAACTCCAATTGACAAAGTATTCTCTTGAATGTGTTTATAATGAAGAAATTATTGTTCACAAGCTGTTCATATCGTGTTCATACCTGTTTTTTTTATTTATTTCCTTTCGTATAGCAGTTATTCTTATTATGTTCATATTGTGTTCATAAATGCTATGCAATCCAAGTTCATATATATGTCAAATTTTTGTTCGTATTTGACACAATGATTCATATATATATATATATATATATATAGGAGTGATCATATGAAAACCGCCCTCATTTGTGTAAACCGTGCAAACCACATTCATCTGTCGATTTCATTGTTTAATCTTATGAAATTTTTTCATGAAATTGTTTAATCTTGTGAAATTGTTTCATATAATACTTTTTTTGATGAAGTTGTTTCATATATAGTTGTGAAATTGTTTCATATAATACTTAATGAAACTGTTTCATGTATTTCTCTAACATTAATGAAACTGTTTCATGTATTTCTCTAAAATTAAAATTATGAAGATGATAATATCTATGATTAACACCCTCCACAATAAAAATGATTAATCAACCTCTCATAATTACAAAAAAATGAACAAAATGAAAAATTATGATTGGTTGAATGCGGTTTGCACGGTTTGTACAAACTGAGTGGTTTGCATTTGATCGCTCCCTTATATATATATATATATATATATATATATATATATATATATATATATATATATATATATATACATAGATAGATATATATATACATAGATAGATAGAGTGGTATGCAGGATAATGCAACGGTATTTGAAATCTTGATGAAAATGATGTTTTTTGAAGCACGGGTTTCCTAATAGAATAAGGGCTTGTTTGGTTGCGGTTTAGTGGACTGTATAAGCCATATGGCTTATTTGCACAGTCATATCTAGTTGTTCGGTATGGGCTTATTCGGTTAGCTCATGACTGAACCACTCAGCTACAAAACTTGTGTCCTTTGTACTATTTACTTTCCTCAACTACCCCTCTCTCAACCCCTCTCCATAGCCACTCCTCCCTCAAATTTAATTTTGTAAATAGAAAACTTAACATTGCTATCACACAAATTGAAAAGCCTTATGGAAACCCTAATATTCTTGTAGAATTTATAGCCGGCCAATTAAAAAATCGAGTTTCTTTTCGCAAAGCAACGAAAAGGCTATAGAATTAACTGAACAAGCAGATACAAAACGAATTCAAGTGCAAATTGCATGATGTATTGACAGAAAAGAGACTTCAGAGAAGGTAGGGTTCCACTACAAACCATTCGAGCTAAAATTGATTATTGTTCCTATACAGTTCGAACGATCTATAGGGTATTAGGCATCAAAATTTAGATATTTATAGAGGGGGAATAATAAACCTTTATTTGCATTTCCAAGATTGCCTAGCATTCCACCAATTAGTGACCCATGATTCCAAACTTTTTTGAAATGAGTGAGAAATTCACCAGGACAAAAATACAATAGATGCAAGATATAAAATAGGAGTGAATGTTTTTCTTTTTGCCATTTTTTCATATGTGAATTGTTAATCTCATTCGTCGATTCTATTGATCTAATATTTCTCCCATGCATCTGTTTTATTTAGGGGTGAGAATAGGCGGGTACCCGCTCTATTTGACCGGAACCAGCAGTTCTTGAGATATTGGAACCACAACCGGTTAGAGCGGTTCTTGAATTTTTGGAACCGGAACCGCCGGGAATCGGTTCCGGTTCCCGTCCGCTTCTTAAAATATTAAAATTATGTTATTTAGAAATAAAAAATAAAAGATTGCCAAAACACTAAATAAATAAACAAGAATACAAATTATACGGAATAATGGTTACAAATATTGTTTAATGACTACAAACCATAATAGACTAATAGTAAATGTTGAAAGKTTAACGATTACATATTATAATTGTAAATGTTGAAAGTTTAACGATTACATATTATAATTTGATTTGAAGACGGTCCATGAGAGGCCTCAGACCTGAGAGTATGAGTCGATGAGGCGCAGAGGTGGGACCAAAAATCTAATCTAGAGTTCTAAGTTCTTGACCTAATTTAAATTTAGTATTAAAAAAATTAATTATTTTTTTAATTGAAAAATACTTGGTACTCGTCGGTTCTGGTTCAGGGTACCCGCTGGAACCGGTTCCCGCGGGTAATGGTTCTGAAAAATTGAGAACCGGAACCATTCTCAATCGGTTTCGTATTTTAGGAACCGGAACCACTCATATCGGTTCCGGTTTCGGAACGGCAGTTCTGATTTCGCAAGTGGGTACCCGGTTCCGCTGCTCACCCCTAGTTCTATTACATGTTATCGAACCTCTGAATCTATGCATGAACCTGTAAATATTGGTAAAACTACAATTATTGTTAACCAATGAAATGTGTTTGTGGTAAAGACAAGATACACCGGACCAGAAAAACCCATGCTCAAAAATATTATCTTTTTGGGCACAGGTTTTGGCAGTAAAAAAAATTAAAATGGACTTAAGTAGGGTTTTCTATAACATATTAATAAGCTATATCCACACTACGGGTTGTTTCATGCCATAAATAAACTCGAGCACTCAAGAAATCCGTTGGGCAAGGGGATTCACATATCTTACAACTGACACAATCCTCTGTTCTTGGAGCAGAAGCTATTTGTTTGGCTTTACATTTTAAAGATACTCACGATATGCTCCCTATAGTAACTGAGTTCATGAATTATGGCGACGAGCCGCAAGGCATATTGGTAAAGGTTTCATGATTATTATCTCACACGTGAATCATTTACCTGTAACTATTTTAAAACCCCTACGAAAAATTGATCACATATGAGCACCATCCAATGTGTACCTAGGTAGAGGAAGCTGATCTGCCTTATGCACTTCCGACTTTTTCCACGGTCGAATCCACTTTGAATTTGATAAATGCATTGCTTGTGAGGTATGTGTTCGTGTATGTCCTATACATCTACTCTTTGTTGATTAGAAATCAGAAACTGAACAACTCTACAGAATAGAAGAGGACTACGATGACGAAGAAGAAAAATTTGATAACAATAGATGAGTTTATTATATGTCTTGGAATCAAGAAAATTTGAAGTTCAAAATACTTGACAAAAATAAAAAATATGAAGAAAATACTTCTTTTGACAAAGATGAATGCCTCTTTGGCCAAGATGAACCTCTACTCCAAGAAAGAACCTCATAATTCCCAAATCAATCATTTCGAATTCTTGCTGCATTGGTTTCTTGAATTCTCCAAACGGCAAAAAATCATTACCAACATAGATCAAATCATCCACATATAGACTTATAATAATAAAACTTTCTCCAGCCCTTTTTGTGAACAATGGGGGACGAGGATTGAGGTCTATTGATCATCTCTCTCAGTGATTTGATGATAATCTCTTTTCTCTTTCACGTTGTATTTGTGTTTATGTATTTTCAGTTCCAGCGATCTTCATTGAGTATGTTCAGTGATCGCTGAAGAACTT